AAACTGAAAAGAAATCAGATGTTAGAAAGTTAATAAAACAGTAATCTACCACTATGCCTGCAGCTGCCCAAATCCACCTGTTCAAACAATTGCAGTATTTTATAGAATCCTGTGGTTCTGATGTGTGCATCTATAGTGGTGCAAAATATCTGTATCAATCACAGAAGAAAGTTAAAACCTTTATTTCAGCATTGTTAGCTGAAAAACCGTTACTCCAAAAGCAACTAGAAATGTTTGCAAAACCATTTGAAAAAAAAAAGACCCTGATTTGTCCTGCTTTTTAATAAAACTAAAACGTACCTCTTCGCCTGCAAAAACAGGCAATGCAAGCTACGATAAAATTTCAAACTTCTGCTTCTGGATGTATACTAATTCCAGGTAATAACCAGATTAGTTACTGGCTTTGTGTAGAGCTGAATACAAAAACATGAAATACCAGTTCTGTCCGGAGGAACAGGCTCATATTGCAGGAAACTGTTGTGGGAAATTAAGAGTATGATTGAAGATATGGCTGACCCAAGACACACATGCATGCTCAACTATTACAGCATCTCAAGGCATCTTAAGATACGTTTTAAGACACAACTAGACATTGGTCCTAAGATGTCTTGGAAATATTTCTATGTCAAGACATCTTAAGGTAAAATATCAGTCCATTATTCCTTGTTGACATACATTTTTCATCAGCTGACTCAATAAAGAATGACAAACGGTATGACACACTGTATCTCACAACATAGGAAAAGCCATACTAAATATTGTATAAAGTATAGTAATTAATAATTATGTGAACATGCTTTATGTTTTAAATATGTATATATTAACTTACCTGTGGATCGGTGTGTTTTTTCTACATGGTGGGGATCATTTTCAGTTAAAATGCTACATTTTGGGGACTGACCATCCTTGTGGCGACCTCTGGCAGGTCTCCTTGGATAACAGTTTTAGGCTTAGGTGTGAATAGGAATGAATGCACAACTCCACTACTTCATGAATTTAAGGCAGCTCTTTTGTTTCCTGTCTTTTATTTCTGGATGATCTGAATAAACCAGAATAATCTGGCCATGGTTATTGAGGTCAGGAATACGTGGAGTACTCAGTTCATCCAGCAGAAAATGACAGGAAAAGAGCTGCCCTGTGTTTTGGTTAGGTATGTAACTGTAATGGTTTGGTGTAGGATAAGGGTTGGATTCGAGCTGTAGAGCTCGCCTACGAATGAATAGATGTGAATAGAATGTCCCCACTGGAATAGTGAAACCTGACCGTGTGTGTGTCTGTTTTGGGGGGGGGGGATAAGATTACTCTTTATGAGAGTGTAGAAATGGCTTACAGTTCAAGTACAATTTGTTCCTGGGATTCTGAATGATTATTTTTTTCCCCCCTCAAACAATTGGCAGTACTGTTCATTGGTCATCTGGCTCACAGAAGCCTTGCGGTGGAGGAACATGAAAGTATCAGATGCTGTGATGGCTGCTGTTGGAAATTTTTTTTTTCCTCCTTCATTTTTCTATGATTTTCTGTGTTGCTGCTAGAAGATGGTACCCTTAAATAAGAGCAACAGGATACAGAATATATCTTGTGAAACTATATAACCTAACTCCTGTTATAACAAAATGAACAGAAGTGTTATAAAAATATTTTATCTCAAAATCAGCTCATTTGTGGACATAGCCCCTTTAAACCTGTAAAGCAAAGCTCTGTATTTACACCTTTAAGCTTTCACTCCCTGGTTATTTCCTGAGAAGAGATAAGACAACTTTTTAATTATCACTTCATAACTTATATGTATTAAATAACCATGAATTATGAAAGCAGATTTTAAAATAAATTGTAATCTTTTTCAGACAGGAGAAGTTGCTTAGGGTTACAGAAGGCAGCTGTTACTAACCAGGCTTGCTTCTTGCTTCAGTTTATTTATAGCGCCAATTCACAACACATGTCATCTCAAGGCACTTTATAAATTCACCAGATTGATTTAAAGTTTCCTATCTAAAGAAAACCAGTTGATTGCATCGACTCATTGACTCGAAGGTAACCTTATACTCGTGTATAAGGTTACTCTTTATGAGAGTGTAGAAATGGCTTACAATTCGGGTGGAAAAACTCTCTATTATAGAATTCCAGTGTGCCACGTCATCACATCATACACGTTTGTAAACGAGGAGGCCTCTCTTGTTGCAGCCATATTAAACTATTACACAGTATCCCAGGTAAAAGACAGAAAACTTTCTGCTAAGAATGATCGACTCTGTCTGTGTCCCCATTCTACTCCTAAATCTCTGTAATGTACATAATTAACATGATAACTGTATATCCTGATAGAAGAGCTATCCTAATTAGATAATCTACTTGGAAAAACATTAGTTTTGACTCGAGACAGGGAGGTATTATTAGGGTTTAACAGACTTACACATCATGAATAAAAATAATCCTTACAAACCCACCCTGTGTTAATGACAGTGAGAGGCAACCAGTGAAAATCACCACCATATGGGCTATCATCTTTGGTAAGGATAATTATAGAAGAACCTGGCCATGTAAACCTCATAGCATAATGCTTACTACTAGGTTAGGTTATATAGTTTTATTAGAGATATTTTTGTATCTCCTAGCTAAATGTGTTCTAACCAGATAATCCGCTGTTGAAAGAAAAACTCACTTTTTTCCAGCAGCAGCCATCCCTGACACCCTCATGTTCTTTCACCACAAATGCTTCTGGGAGCCAGATGACAACCTAGGGATCGGGACAAAATGTTCGCTGCCGCCAAAGAACAGTACGGTCAGTTATTTAAAAAATAAATAAATATCAAGAAATCATTCCCAATGCTAGAAACAAATTGTACTGAAATTGTAACCCATTTCTGTGCTCTCATACAGAGCAACCTCACCGAACACACACACATAAACTTGTCTCACTGTCTTTGCGGGGTCTTTCCATTGAGTTCCATTCATTTCGACAGCCTAACCTTAACAATTATGGCATCTTACCTAACCCCAACTCTAACCTAGACTCAATTTACACCTTTGTCTTGAAAGTGACCCTGAACGAAAAAAAAGCAATTCCAGTCATGGGCTCCAGGCATGAGCAATCGCTCCACACGACGTGCCATTTTTTCAGAAAATGGGAACCATAATGCATTAAAAAAAGAAAACACAACACTTTGTATTTCTATCCATATTAAGTCTTTACACAGACTTATCTTTATTTGAGTTATTGAATTTATGTCTAAGCCTGACATTTACCCAGATGTGTAAAGTAACAAAGTACAAATACTTTGTTACCTTACTTAAGTAGAAATTTTGGCTATCTATGCTTTACTGGAATAATAATTTTCTGGAAAACCTTCTACCTCTACTCCTTACATTTTTTTGCAATTATCCCTACTTTTTAATCCTTATACTTAAATCATCAAAATATTTATATAATTCGTTTTATCCAGACAATTAATTTCTTTTTGGTTGGACCAACTTGTTGTCCGCCACTTATCAAAATAAATAGTTTTTCAAGACGAGGCAAAGTTACATTTGATTCTGTTACTGTTAGTTAATAAACTAAGAAACTTAAATATAATTGTAGAAGAAAATGTCCTTTAATAGGGCAGGGCAGTACTTAATTTTTTTATGCATTTCTTTTACTTTTATTTTTTAAGTAGTTTTAAAAATGGCACTTTTACAGTTTTAATTGAGTATAAAGCTGAAGTTGATACTTTTTAAATTTATACTTCTACCGGAGTAATAAACATTAATACTTTTGATGACTCTGCATTTCCCCAAACCATTTCCAGTATATTCCTAACCTTAACCGAAAGTTAATTCACAGCATACCTATAAACTGACTCCTTAACATTAAAAATGGAGGTCCACCAAATTCGACCTGGGCTTTGGTTCCAACAAGGCATGTTGGTCCTCAGAAGGCTAGTAAATATCCCAAAACTGTCCTGAAAAGGTTCCATAAACAAGTAGACCAGAAACCCATGACATTACCAAGACATCCTAACAGTGTGTATGAAGTGAGATTTAAATGTATTTCTGATTTTAAAGAATAGAACATCCTCTGAAAAATTTTTCCTCTCCTTTTTCTGGCACAGAAAACATAAATAATCCGGTTTATTCTAAATAATCTAGAACAGGAAAACATTAATCTAATTAGCTTTAACTTCTGTAGAAGAAGTTTGTATGTGTGACGGTTTAAAACAGATTGTCACATATCTAAAATAATCTTCCTCTCCATCTTCTGGCTTAGAAAACATAAATAATCCTGGTCATCCCAAATAATCTAGAACAGGAAAACATTAATCTAATTAGCTTTAAATTCTATTGAAGAAGTTTTTATGTGTGACGGTTTAAAACAGATTGTCACATAACAAAAATAATCTTCCTCTCCTTCTACTGGCGCAGAAAATATAAATAATCCTCTTTATCCCAAATAATCTAGAACTGGAAAACTTTCTGTTGAAGAAGTTTTTATGTGAGACGGTTTGAAACAGATTGTCACATATTTAAAATAATCTTCCTCTCCTTCTTCTGGCATAGAAAACATAAATAATCCTGTTTATCCTAAATAATCTAGAAGAGGAAAACAATAATCTGATTAGCTTTAAATTCCATTGAAGAAGTTTTTATGTGTGACGGTTTAAAACAGATTGTCACATTTCTAAAATAATCTGACTATCAATTTTGATCAGTGTTAAGTAGAATCCTTGGGGAAAAGATGATAGGTGCTCTGGAACATTCCGCTATCAGTATGTATGTAATCCCTCATATAGATACTGATAACACCCTTTATTGACACAAACTACAGTTTAAGCCCAATTGACTATGTTGAAACCTTGGAACAAGCAACCCGTAGAACATATATGTACCTTGCCTGTTGAGCACATGGAAAACGTGTATAGGTTGTTCTTTTTTTACAGCCAGAAGAGGGGGAGGTTGGGTAAAGTTCAGGGGGCGTTTAGTTGTGTTTTTTTTTTTTTCTTCTCCCAGTTGGAGGAGCCCTTATAACCCTCGGGATCATGAGACTGTAATACAAATCACCATGATTGGATACATCCTCTTTACCGTTGCGGCATTTTTGCCGCTATTGATTTATTTGCGAAATCCATATTTTCTGGCAGATCTAAATTACGTAATCGTTGCCATTCGCATCGGATGGCGATTAAGTAAAATCAAAAAGAAGTTTTTCAGCATCTTAGATGCTTTCCTGGATAAAGTGAATAAAGACCCAGAAAAGACTTTTGTGATCTTCGAGGAGCGCTCCTATAGCTACGGCTGGGCTGACAGGGAGAGCAACAGAATAGCCAGGGCTCTGTCAGCGCATGCCGGGCTGAAGGAGGGGGACACAGCCGCGCTCTTCCTGGCCAATGAGCCGCACTTTATTTGGGTCTGGCTGGCTCTGGCCAAACTGGGCTGTGTGGCGTCTCTCCTCAACTGCAACATCAGGTCCAAGTCTCTGCTGCACTGCTTCTCCTGCTGCGATGCCAAGGTCCTCATTCTCGGTGCTGGTAAGTTGGATGCATTGAAACTTTCCAAGAGCAGTAAACTTTAAAATATACAATTAGCTTTTTTCTTGTTTGCTCCCTTTTTTTTGTTATTTTTATTATCGCATATCTTAAATGGCATCTTGCTTTAACTCCGACCTTTGTACTTTTCATAAGCTACTGGAACCAGAATTCCCCTGAAGGAGTTTTCCCAAGGGATAAATAAAGTTGAGCCTAGTCTGAGTCGATGTAAGGTGTTTTCTCGTTAAAAATACCCACCTGTTGAATGCTGGTGAAGATTTTAATTCATCCGGGTCATAGTCATTGCAAAAAAGTAAAAAAAAACAATCCACTGGACGTTTTGCTTCCCATCCAGGAAGCTTTTTTCAATTCAAAATGTTATTTTTTTTAAATTGAAAAATGTAAAAATTGAATTGAATCCATTCAAAATGTATATATATATTTTTTTTGCTTTAAGGCTTCCTGGATGGGAAGCGAAACGTCTTCAAACTTGGAAACAAAGTGGTATTACTGTTGTAGTATGTTTATTTATGCTGATGTTATGACAAATACGTAACTATGTCCCCAACTTATTGCCAAAATATAGATATATCAGATTTTCCGCCTACCCCACTTGAAATCCTGAATTGTGGGAACTATTCTTACAATATATTTTCTTTTTTCATCTCTGATAAGATATAGATATTACAGCTTTTAGTATTGATAGATACTGATATCGACCTGCTACAATATCAGCATTAAATCATACAGGTCCTTCTTAAAATATTAGCATATAGTGATAAAGTTAATTATTTTCCATAATGTAATGATAAAACTTGAACATTCATATATTTTAGATTCATTGCACACTAACTGAAATATTTAAGGTCTTTTGTTGTCTTAATGTGGATGCTTTTGGCCTACAGCACTTGAAAACCCCAAATTTCTATCTGAGAAAATTAGCACATCATGAAAAGGGTCTCTAAATGAGCTATGAAGTAATTATTTGAATCAAAAAATTAACTCTAAACACCTGCAAAATATTCCTGAGGCCTTTAAAACTCCCAGCCTGGTTCATCACTCAAAACCCAAATCATGGGTAAGACTGCAGACCTGACTGCTGTCCAGAAAGCAATAATTAACAGCCTCAAGCAAGAGGGTATGACACAGAAAGATATTTCTGAATGAATAGACTGTTCCCAGAGTGCTGTATCAAGGCACCTCAGTGGGAAGTCTGTGGGAAGGAAAAAGTGTGTGCACAACGAGAAGAGGTGACCGGACCCTGAGGAAGATTGTGGAGAAGGGCCGATTCCAGACTTTGGGGGGACCTGCAGAAGCAGTGGACTGAGTCTGGGGTAGAAACATCCAGAGCCACCGTGCACAGGCGTGTGCAGGAAATGGGCTACAGGCGCCGCATTCCCCAGGAATGGGCAAGAGAAGCAGCACTGGACTGTTGCTCAGTGGTCCAGAGTATTTTTTCAGATGAAAGCAAATTTTGCATTTCATTTGGAAATCAAGGTGCCAGAGTCTGGAGGAAGACTGGGGAGAAGGAAATGCCAAAATGCCAGAAGTCCAGTGTCAATTACCCACAGTCAGTGATGATGTGGTGCCATGTCAGCTGCTGGTGTTGGTCCACTGTGTTTTATCAAGGGTGTTTTACCATGGTATCACTGTGCTCAATCGGCCTGTCAACACTCCTGACCTGAACCCCATAGAGAATCTGTGGGATATGGTGAAGAGAAAGTTGAGAGACGCAAGACCCAACACAGGCTCCATGCATTGAAGCAGTAATTTCTGCAAAAGTATTCCCGACCAAGTATCGAGTGCATAACTGTACATAATTATTTGAAGGTTGACTTTTTTGTATTAAAAACACTTTTCTTTTATTGGTCGGATGAAATATACTAATTTTGTGAGACTGGAATTTTGAGTTTTCATGAGCTGTATCCCCAAATCATCCGTATTAAGACAACAAAAGACCTGAAATATTTCAGTTAGTGTGCAATGAATCTAATATATATGAATGGTCAAGTTTTATCATTACATTATGGAAAATAATGAACTTTATCACAATATGCTAATATTTTCAGAAGGACCTGTACATACTTTTATGAATTAATACATTGCGTGGAATGTTACAAAAGGATTGATCAAGTGATAACTAAGAAAGCACTTAACAACTACTTATTCACCAAAGTGTTACATAAACTTTAAACAAAAGTGGATAGAAGCAAAACAAGTGTTTGTATGAGCTTTCTAAGATGCAAAATTTTAGAGGAAACCTAATATATTTCAATATAAATTTTTTTGGCTGATATCGGATCAATTTCTAATATCAGACTGGGACAGCCCTAGCATGTTCTCTTTATACTTTAGTTGTTCCTGTCATTATTAGTAGCACTGTTACTTAAAAGAAAGAACCCCAGCCTTTCTGCTACGAGCTTACCTGCTCAGGTCCATCCAGGTACGTTAGCGTCCTCCCACAGTCCAAAAACATGGCTATTAGGTTAATTAGTGACTCTAAATTGGACTTAGATTTGTGTGCATGTTTTCCCTGTGATGGGCTCCATGGTGATCCAGGGTGTACCCTGCCTTTCCCCTCTAGACATCTGGAAATAGAAATTAGCCTCTTGTGACCTCAACACACAAGCATCAGAAGATGGATGGGCTGTTGTTATAAAAGGTTTGTCATCCACTGCATGAAACTCATTATCAGATTTAATAGTTCGACCAATCATGCAATGGCAGGGACAATAAATGGTCTTATTATTTTATTGTTATATTATAATGTAATTGTTTCTTAAAGTTCATTGCCTTTTCTCTAAACTTGTGTCATTTACCTTGGTGGTTGCTCTCCTGGGTGGTTCCTGGGTTCAAACCTCAGCCTAAGAGCTTTCTGCTTGGTGTTTACATGCACCGGGCATTCTGGGTACTCTAGCTCCCTCCCACGGTCTCAAAACACATGTTCTAGGTTAATTGTGACTCTAAATTAGATTAGATGTAGATGGTTGGATTATTGTTAGAAGAAGTCTAAAATCCACTGGAGGACTTATCTGCTTTTACATAGTGGACAAACATTACTGGACTTAATTTTTTGATCAATCATGCCAAGGCAAAAACAATAAATGGTCTTATTATTTTAGTGTTAATACATCATCATTTTATTGCTTCTTAAATTTCATTCCCTTTTTTAAAAAGCAGGTTTATTTACTTTGGTGGTTCCTCTCATGATTAGTAAGGTGGCCCAGTTTGTAGCACTGTTATTTTGCAGCAAGGAGGACCTGGGTTCAAGTTCCAACTTAGGGTCTCTCTGCATAGCGTCTGAATGCACTTGTCACTCCAGGTACTATGGATTCCTCCCACAGTCCAGAACCGTTCGATAAATGGGTGACTCTGAATTGCATTGTGTGTGTGTACGTGGTTGTGTGCCTTTGTGTCTTCCTGTAGCGGACTGGTGACCTATCCGGGTCAACCCCACCTTTCCCCCCTAGACTGCTGGAGATAGGCATTACCTCTAAGTCATGTTGACAGTAAAGCATTAGAAGATGGATGGGTTATTGTCTTAGACAGTTTGACAGCCATTGCTTCATGCAGCGCCATAATGTGGGGCCCCAATGTGAACCTATAATAATATCTTCTTTTTCTAACTTTCTCAGACTTGAAAGAAGCTGTGGAAGAAATTTTGCCTGGTCTGAAAGAGTTGGGCATCCGTGTGTTTGTCCTCAGCAATCACAGCGATATTGAAGGTATTGAAAGCCTCTCTGATAAGATTGAGAAGGCCTCAGATCAGCCTCTGTCACCCCAGCTGAGGGCCAACACCAACCTCAAAAGTCCTGCAGCGTACATCTACACATCAGGAACCACAGGTAATCAGCCAGTCTCATCTAACCTTGACCTCATAATTCTCTCACTGTGTCTTGCTTGCTGTGGCCTTGAACAACACATAAAACATTTCCAATGACAATGTTATCTTGTAGGACTTCCCAAGGCAGCCGTAGTTAACCACGAGAGGGTATGGGTGGCATCTTCTCTCCTGTCTTTTGCTGGTGTTCACTCCAGTGATGTTCTCTATTTATACCTCCCTCTCTACCACTCCTCTGGTTTTCTGATGGGACTCTGCGGAGCCATCGACAAAGGTATTCTATGACAGACTTCCATGATAGATATTACCTGGACAGAACGGACAATCTGCCAGTTCTGGGAAAAGTCTAGAGGGCCCCCTGCTCCTGGGTTCTCTGCTTACTGTGTTTATTGAATAACAAGTAATTAAACAGCAGACTGTGTGTGTGGGGGGGTGGGGGTGGGCTTGTTGGGTTATCTGGAGTGTCCATGCCTGCCATTTTGAAAACAAGCTGAGTTTAGTGATAAAACATGACTTTTGGAAGAGAGTGGGCTTATTTATTATTTGTTAAGGCAACCAACCTCATAAATCACCAAGCTGTGAGTTGGATATTGTCTGTGATGCTCTGTTGTAGGAATTTGCTTAATCATCTTTGGGTCATGGTAACCAGTGAGGTCCAGAGCTTTAACCCCTTATAGACAGGTGAAGCTTGTTGGCTTCATACCATTTCCAGTCTAAATAAGCATACAGAATTTATGCATGATGAAAATGTTAGTCCACTCATATGCTTCTGGAGTTAAGGAGACCATAAAATGTGCTTTTATATATCATTTAGGTACTTGGAGTGTGAACTAAACATGAACCATAAAAGAACAAGAGCAATGATGCACTGTGAGAGAGTGCAAACATTTGGATGATAAACTCAGTGACTTGCTAGTTAAGATAAAAAAACAGGCTTTTTCATCTAAGTTATGACCAACAAAATTCACATGTGTAACCAAAATTCTAAAAGATTTTGAATTTCAAGCATTTTAGCTTTACAATGAAATTAAGAAATAGAGATTAGTAAAATTAGTTATATGTATAATTTGAGTATCACTGTAAAAAAAAAATCTCTATGCATTTATTTCCATTTTGCAAAATTAAATATAACAAAATGGGGGGGGGGGGGGGGGGGGGGGGGAATTAAGCTACTTAAATTAAGAATTGGGTGAGAGAAAACCTTTTTCAAGTTGTTTGTGTGTGTCTGCCTCTAGGGTCTTGTTCATATTTCAACAGTGGGTTGGATAGGAACTGTCTGAGGGGGTTTGCAAAAGAAGAAATCTGCACGGCCAAAAACTTTAAAATGTATATTGGGGAAAAATGCTGATGTCAATACAACCTTGTTGGTGGCTGTTGGATGTCAGGAGTGTTCAGGAGAAAGTTCAGGGCTGTTATGTTCAGTCCCAGTTTGTTACAGGTTAAACCAATAGAGAAAGATGACCTCAAGTAACAAGCAACCTAGTTGCTTTTTCTATTCAGTTTTCAAATGTGCAAACAGTTACTGAACCTTTAAGTAACTCTGGGTACCCTTTTTCCAGGTATCACCGTGGTTTTGAGACAGAAGTTTTCTGTTTCCAACTTCTGGAAAGACTGCAGAAAGCACAATGTGACCATTTTTCAGTACATTGGAGAGATCATGCGATACCTTTGCAACACACCAAAGGTAAACACCTAAATCTGGATGACAAAAGGGACAGAAAAAATGAAACATTTGAAATGCAAAGTCTTAGAAACCATAAACAGGCTTTTCCAAACATCTTGTAAATGTTTTGTCATTCACTTAATATCTAAAAAGGTTTGTGACCCAGTGTCTAGATAAATTCATCTATAATCATAATCTTATAAAGAATCATAATGTTTTATTAGTATATCAGTAGAATGTAAATAGTAGATTGATATAGTGTAAATAATGAAGTTAATACAGCATCTTTTATATAACACTTATTGATAATGAAAGTCATATTTAGGTACTACTAATGAATTCAGTGTATTTATAATAATAAAAGCAGAGTGACATTTATTTGAATATAGTCCATTCGATTCTAGTTAATGATTATGATGAACTGGGGTCAAATGCGGGTTACTGTACAAACGGGTTTAAAGTTATCTGCATAAGGAAGCTGAGCTGATTGCGCTGAGCAGTGTTTCACTTTACAATAATTCCCTCTACCTGAGGATTGGGTGACGACAGTGTAGGTGCATGACCCAGGAAGAAACCTGCAGTAAAAACAGGCAAAAATAAAAAACTGACCCAAATTTGCCTACCTCAACTTGAGAAGGTCATTGACCCCTTGATATATAGTGGCTTAGATGTGGTTAATTGCCTTTTTGAAAAATAGCTGGTATCATTTCTCTCTTACTAGCCATACACAGGTTTGATCACTACAAGACCCATAAAAGAAAAATATAGAACTACTCTCACAAAATGAAGTAGTATTAAAGAGCCTAAAAACCATCACATCATATCCTTATCTAAAAAAACAAAGGTAAAGAGATGAGAAACACACCTACTAACCATCAGTCAGGATAGTATCAAAGTAACTTCTAAGGATTTTGAAACAGTAATAAGAATGTAGGACTAATGGTCTTCCCATTTAGATAAAGACACTTAATGGAAAACCTGAGAGCACATTGATAACCTTAAATAGTATCTGAAGCTCCTCAGGCCTCACCCACCTGCCACAGTTTAAGTCAGTGTTCATGATTCAGCAGTATGAACAAGTTCCAAGATAAGAAATATGTGTTAAATGAAAGCAGCACAAAGTTTTTTCTCACATTCATCAAAAGAAAAAAAAATGTCTATGATGTTTAAAAGAAATGGGAAGCAGACTAACAGGATAAAATTGATATAAAAGAACCCAAATCAATCAAAATGTCCAGCGTTTATTTTGGGAACTCTACCTCTGAAAGGCAAAAAAATAAATAAAAGTTAAAAACAAAATGTATGTTTTGAAGGAGCTGAGACAAAGCCTGCATTAAAACATAATGGGCTCTATGCACAGCTCCACTACTTCCTGAATTTAAGGTAGCTCCTTTGTTTCCTGTCTTTCATTACTGGAAGAACTGATTAATCCAGGTGTGTCTGGCCAGTTACTTAGGTCATACACACTTGGATTAATCAGTGCATCCAATCATGAAAGACAGGAAGCAAAGAAGCCTCCTGAAGTTCAGGAAGTGGTGGAGTTGTGCATAGAGCCTATTGTGACTCCAGCAGGACCATAAACATGGTTGAAGTACTGAAGAACTCTGCAAAGCAGGGTTGGCAAAAGATTCACCCACAGCAGTGTCTAATACCCCGTTTACACTACCCTTAAAAAACTGAGCCGAGACCGGTCCGAGCTCAGTAACTGAGATAACTTGTCGTGTGTGAACGGAAACAACCTGAACTGAACCGAGATAGACATAACCGGACCGCGCTAACTGCAGACCAGTTCCCGAGGTGGGTTCGGCTCGGTTTTTTCCTGGCTCGGTTCTCTGATAACAAGAGCGCATGAGCAGAACGCGTCATCGCCGACTGGCTGAACATGCCGATTCACACTCCATTCGAGAAAGTCCGCTTTTGGGAAGCCGACTTTCTCAAGTACATCCGCGCAAGGTTGCCGTCTTCGCCTGACCCACCGCAAACACCGAAGTACAGCAATAATAATCAAGCATAACTTTCTGAATGTGACGGGCGCCGCCATTTTGATTTGCTTGATTCCCTCCTCCTTCGTCTTCTTCTTCTTGGGTTTTACGGCGGTTGACAAACAGCGTTTGGTGCATTACCGCCACCAGCTGCTTGAGTCCCTCCTTCAATCCTAGCAGTAATACCGCACATCGTCACTAGGAGGCGAGGAGTCAAGGAGTCGAGATAACCGAGATAAGTGTGACGTGTGAACGGTCGTCAAAACTGAGCTTGGCCTGGTTACCGATCCAAGCTCGGACCGGTCTCGGCCTGGATCGGTTTTTCAAGGGTAGTGTAAATGCTACATAAGACTCATTGCCAGTTCTTGCAAATACTTTAAGGCAGTAATGCTGCAGTGCGTCTCGACAGTTAATAGGTTTAGTACTTAGATATTAGATTTATTGATTACTTTCTCACATCCGCAGCACTTTGAAGGTTCTCTTAAAATGTTCAGATATTATTTTAGATATGATTATCTTCAGTAGTATTGATATTAAATAAATTAGTAGCCCTTTTCTTTAAGACAAGAAAGGGACTGAGTACACATCCCTGCTGCACCCCACTATTAAAGGTTATGGTTCTTAGCATTGTATTTTTTGTATTTTACTGCTAAAGGCTAATTAAGTCTATTGCAAGGGAAGGCATTGAAGCCAAGGAGTGATGTCCAGACATTTGGTCATGCTGTAGTCTTACATAGTGGTTGATTTGGATCCAAGCGGAGACAGTTGAACAAGAGTCTAACAATGGAAGGAAATCACAAAAACAATGGAAAGATATGAAAGGAACTGATGAGCATTAGGAAATGGTTAAAGCACAATAAGATGAGTAAATTGGCTTAGAAGGTAAAGTAAGTAACTGGACAAGGAGTTACAAAATTATAAGCCAACTCATAATCGATGGTGATGTGATCAGCAAAATGTGAACAAGGTGAATGTGATTGAGTTGATGCAGTTCATCTGGGTCACAAGGGCTGGAATAGCTAATGAATTTACTCATTTGAATCTGACAGGATAAAAAAAAAAACACACACACTAAAAAAATTGCACCAAAAAAAAAAAAAAACGTAAGTTATGCTGATTATGACATCTACCCCTTTTGGTCAGAGTGCGTAAGGGCTGATTGGCGAAAGGATGGCGTTATAATATCCATTGAATTAACATAAGTGTTACCTTTTGGAAGAATATTATTAATGTGTCAAAATATGCCAATAGAAACTGATTTCATCTTAAATATTTTTAAACATTTAGATTTACAGCAAGATTAGAAAAAAACAGTTGTAACTTTAATATTTCATTAATGCAAAAATCTCTAAACTGAAGAAGCAAAGGGGCTGTTAAGCTTAGCTATGCTGTAAAAACTTTTCATTTGTGAGTTTTCAACTAATGACTGGTTTCTTAAATTACTTAAAAAAAAATAATAATAATAATCTAAAGAGTATGAACTATATGTAGAAAAATAAAAGTAAAAAAAAAACAAAGACAGATGTTTTTAGAATTCAGATTCTTTTTTATGTTTGTTTGGATTTGGTTCTTGATTTGTTCATAGGACATGCTAAAGCTGAATGGTGATCAGTTTTATTAGCCTCTTAAATGTCTATATATAACAATGCTCTTGCCTTAGAGTAATACATGGCTCATAAATGTTTTTTATGCTTGTGTAATCTCTTCTTCACCTTCTGCTTAGAAAGACAATGACAAGGATCATAAAGTGAGGCTGGCTATTGGAAACGGGATAAGGCCAGACACCTGGGCTGATTTCCAGGAGCGATTCGGGAACATTGGTATCTTAGAATGCTACGGGGCAACGGAATCAAATATTGGTTTCTTTAATTATGTTGGAAAAGCTGGAGCCATCGGCAGAGAACATTTTCTCTACAAAGTAAGAGAATCATAATTAGCATACTAATTTGCGATTTTTGGAGTTTACATTCATAATGCTCTGAAATCACTCATTTCTTTACATTAATCTCAATCTCCAATTTATTTTCAGCTATCATGTCCATATGCCCTTATAAGGTATGACACAGAAAAAGAAGAGCCAGTCAGAAACTCCAAAGGATTCTGTATTGAAGTCCCTAAAGGTTAGTCATTCACATTGAAATTTAAAGTAATATTTCTTCTCTTTCAAAGCTGAAGTTTGTCTCTCTAACTTGAAGGGGAAACTGGTTTGCTGGTGGCGAAGATTAAAGAGAGAACACCCTTTTATGGCTATGCCAAGAACAAACAGCAGACAGAGAAGAAAAAACTGAGAGACGTCTTCGAGCGAGGAGACCTCTACTTTAACAGCGGTGACCTCTTAAGGATAGACCACGAGGGATTTATCTACTTTCAGGACCGCATTGGAGACACTTTTAGGTCAGTGGATGGCAAAAACTGGAGAAATCCAACAAGGTGTCACACATTTATGTAAAAAGTCAGAAGGTAGTCCCCAGAATTCAGGCAAGATGAATAGTGGATTACTTAAAAAGTGTTTATTAAAACAAGACATAGATTCTGCAGTGGCTGCAGCGGCTAGGGCATCAGAAGCAGGGTCTTCTATTAGAAAGAAACATATGTTAGTAATGACAATAATCTGAGGATAATTATGAACGCGCGAGTCACTAACCTGGTTTGACAGTTTAGTCCGTGTCGAGAGAACGAGGATGATTCCAGCTGGTCGAACTGTACAAACGCAGGGATGCTGCCATAGAGTTCCAGACGGAAAAGTGTAGAAGGCTGCAGACAGAAGACCATATCTGAGCTGATGCAGGAAGGTTGGATAATCCAAAGTACAAAGTGAAGAGGCAGATCTGGGTTGAGTCCACAGAAGAATCCAACAGGAGTTTGAGGAAAGCCAGGCAAACTAATCAGACAGGGGAAGGCAGGCTCAAAGATCAAAATACAGAAACGGATCAGACAATCAGAACACTATGGTAAAGCTGGAGAACTCTGAACACCAAACACTCAAGAATAATCTGGCACCAATGGCTGGAAACTGGCTTTTTAAATAGATAGAAGGAACAGATGAATCTGATGAGTGATGGGGAACTGGGCAGAGCTAGACAGGTGAATGAAATTAAGCCAGCCATCAGCGCCAACATCATGACAATTCAAGACCAGTTATTCTCTATATAGTGATGGAATAAACCTGTATAAGTAGATTCTAATGTTTGGCCTAAAATATCATGCATTTTCTTGATTTTCAATTTAGGATTTTGTTAAAGTGACATTCTGGATCCTTTTGATTTGGGTTCTCTAACGTTGCTATTTATATTCCTTATCCATTTTTGCATGAAAGAAAACAAACAAAACCCTTAGTTGTGCTAAATTCTAGTCAATATAAAAGCAAATCCTTCAAAAATATGCAGTCCCTTGCAGATGCTTTTCAGTTAACTTTGTCACTAATCTCCTGTTTGCATTATAGAGCTCTTTAGTGTGTTTGGTCATTTTCATAGAATACATAAAATGGTTTGGGGATCTTTAAAGTTGCATCACTCCACCTTAATATATTTATAAATGTGTCTTTCTTTTGTACTTTGATTCTGCACCGCTTTGCATTATACAGAGGAACTGAAGATTAACAACTAATCGTCAGACACTTCAATGGGTTAAGATATGGCTGTCAGTGGATCCAGAAAATCTGACTTAGACTTAAACAACTTTTGTCATTTTTTATTCACAGAAGTGTATACAAAATGAAATTTTGTTCTGTACAGCTTTCAGAAGGTTTCCATTCCTTAAAGTGCAGCAGTGATCAAATGTAAACAGTGTGGAAGAAAAAAAATATGGTGCAAAAAAACGCATTGATATGGTGTTACAACCCCCACCCTTAAGAACACTAAAGGGTAAATTCTGGCACTGGGTGTAACACAAAAGTCAGTAAACTAAAAGATGATGTCAGCAGGAAAATATGATTTATTTACAATTTGCAGGGGTCACAAAAAAAAAAAAACAGCAAAACAGGGAAGCTTAAAGCCTCAGGGTCTCCAAGGCCAAAACAACAAACAAACCCCCCCCCCCCCCTTACTTATAAAACAAAACACTTTCTAACATAGAAAATGAAAAGGACATACAATACCTGGACTCCCTGGCTAACCACAAAACAAGGAGAAAACAGTTCAACAAAAATGGCAGAGAACCCCTACCAGCTTCCACTGTGAACAGAAAAACAAAACTTTAGTCAATTAATTGTTCAACATGAACACACACAGAGACATTCAGCTCATGAACAAGATCACTTCAGATCAAGGCCCAGTGAATAAGAGAAGGGGCCTGACATCTCAGGATTGAAGCTCTTTATGAGGTGGCTGACGAGCTTCAACGCATTGCACCTGTAACAGCCAGGGAGACCTGAAACACAAACAGAGAGCTCTCTCATGAAGAGAGCTCCTAGAGGTCAGTGACCGTAACATATGGAAGTTCAGAGGATTAGATATGTGCATGCAAATATGCAGAATTTTGGTTTGGTGTTATCAGTGTGATGTGGAGTCAGTGACATGATTTAAAGATTTCACTGCAATTTTGTTGTATAAAGCAGTGGGCAAAAGCTGTTTTGGAAAATGTTAAAAAAAAATTTATCAGTGATCAAATACTTCCACTATATGGCTATTTGATGAGTTTGGTGCATAGTTTCTTGTTTGAATACTGTCTGACATTTTGTGTGAGGAAGAGAAAGTCAATCAGAAAATTTCAACTATAGGCAGAGTTTGTTTGACTGAGGAAAAATTCTGATTCCTTCTTGGGATACATAGAGGAATACTGTAAATTGGAAGTATGATTTAATAAGTTATAGAATATAGTCTGTGGGTATTTTCTTTGCTGGACCAAGTTATTCTGTCTGGCCTTTTAAAAATGATAATTGAACATCATTGATCTCACAATGGAGAAATTCACTTCTGCATTTTATCCCCTTGGGGAGCAGTGGGCTGCCACTGTGCAGCGCCTGGGGAGAAATCAGGGGTTAAGGGTCTTGTTGAGGCACCCGGAGTCCAGTCTGTGGGGATCAAACTGGGTTCTTGCTCCCTTCTCAGAGCACACGCGCTCTGCTCTAACCACTAGGCCACCTATCCCCTTTTTAAGGATGCTTATAGGAAATGACGACAATGAAACTCCTACAAGGTGTTTACAAGATCATCATAAATAATATAATTTTTCTGCCATTTTGTTTTAACTCTCAAGGCATTTATACCACAAAATAATCTAATGCGAAAGTGATGCAAATTGGTATACAGGTTAAATATTATCCGTATCAGAACCAAGCCTAAACCGACAGAGCTATAAGTCAGGGATGGACAGCTTTAAAGCTTGTGTCCTGCAACTTTAAGCTGTGTCCTTGGTCAGGCACATCTGAATCAAATGGCAGAAAAGAGTCCTTAGTATGCTGGTTCTCCAGAGATTTTCTAATTATTTGATTCAGGTGTGTTGGGACAGGGACACCTCTAAAAGTGTTAGGATCCCTAGACTCCAGGACTGGAGTTGTCCATCATTGTTTAAAGTGTATGATTTCCAATTATACTGATAATATGGCATGTTACAAATTTTTTATCTAACCTACCAAGTTCTGCTATTTTAGAAATAAATGTAATCTGTTTTCTTCATCTGCTCTGACTGTTTCTTTTTATCTTGGACAGGTGGAAAGGAGAAAATGTGGCAACCACAGAGGTGGCTGATCATTTACTGGCCATGGATTTCGTTGACGAGGCTAATGTTTACGGTGTGAGGGTACCAGGTAATCGTTTCGGCAGTGAGACGTTTTATGAGCTTTGTAAATAGAAATTAACCATTTTATTTGCAAAGATTGATTTTCCGACCAAAATAGGTCATCTTATGAAATCTGATCTATTTCGAAGAATTTCTACATGTCCATTAGTTATTTATTATTGTGGACATGCAACTCAGAAAAACTATTTGAAAAAATATATTTTTTAAACATTGTTAATATTTAGGAAAAATAATTGAGCAATTATGTATTTATTTAAATGAGTTGTCTTTTTATGTTGACTGTGGCTGATTAGGGCATGAAGGAAGGATTGGAATGGCGGCCCTGAAGCTTAAAGAAAATATGGACTTTGATTGTGAAGCTATGTATCAACATGTCAAAAACTACCTGCCCAGCTATGCAAGACCACGGTTCATACGCATTCAGGTAAGTTAATGTTAAAAGAAAGCAAAATATTAGAAAAATCCAACAACATTTTTTCAGAATAACAAGGAAACTGCTGCTTTCTGGCACAGGATGCTGTGGAAGTGAATGGAACATATAAGCAGCTGAAGGTGAAGCTGACTAATGAAAGTTTCAACCCTGAAATCATCATGGACCCTTTGTTTTTCCTGGAGGATGGAAAAGGCTACGTACCTATGACTCCAGAGATATTCACTGCCATCACAGTGGGAAAAATTAAGCTCTGAAGAAGTTTGATTACGTTACTAATCAATGTATCTAATTTTTTTTACACTTTTAGTAATACAGGATGCAGAGTAATCCAGATGCAATGACTTGTACATTGAGCGTGTTTACAAAATGCACACGATGAAAGGAAATATGTCATAGGGGAATATTTCATAGGTATCTTTTTTATCATTTAAACGTATTAACATTTCTTGGATAAAATGACTTCCTGTGTTATTATTGTTGTAGTTTTATTTATTTCACCAATTTACAACAGTTCCATCTCAAAGCAATTATTAGGACCAAACAGTTAAAGATACATTCAACAGAACCAGACACGATATGAGCATCTTTCTATGGCGACTTGCTGAACCAGGAGGTCATTTTTGAATGAAAATTGTCCATAAAAGAAAATAAAAAATGAAGACATAGGTAATGGAAACAGTAGCTCACTAACTAACTCTTTTCCAATAACACACACAGCTGGACACAAAATCAATGAAAATGCTTTCTGTGGAACAAAAAGTACACAAAGCAGCAAAAGCTTTATCCTAGCTAGTGTAAATTAAAAGAAAAGGCTAAACACTAAACAAATGAGCTAGAGGTACTTTCTATAAAAACCTTTCTCATTTAAAAGCAGTAAAGGCTCCATCCATAAGTACAGAGGAAAGCCATGATGAAACAAAAACAATGAAAAATTAGTAGCTTTTATGGTTGATGATTATTGAAAGAAAAAAAAAGCTATTTTGTTAACATATGCAACTTTAAGTCAACTTTAAATTATTGTTCATGGATTTGAGAGTTTTTAAGACACCTGGGACTTTCCAGTGGAGAGGTGGAAGATGCTGTGTTTGTAGCAGAGGACGAGTGTGTGCAGTTAATTCTCCTGCAGGTGGAGGATAAAAGCTTCTGACCACCGTGTGAGACCTTCAGAGGGCAGGTCAGCTGGTGCCGGCTGCACTGGGCCCATTGGTTGCAGAAACTGGGAACACTGTAAAACTTTGTAAGCTTTTTCAGGACCTGCTTCCCCGGAAGATTTGAAGGCACCTCTTTAATCATAGAATCTGTCGGTGATGGCGGAGGGAGGCCGTCTGATCCGTCTTTAAGACAAGGCAACGATTCACAATCAAAGCTAAACAGCGCCCAGTAAGGCAGTGGTTCACTGTTGCAGCTAAGAGAGCGCATCGGTCGCCTAGGTCGATTCCAGGCTTTGTCAATCCACAGGTCTACGTTAGCTTTTTCCAGCTGGGTGACCATGTCTTCTTTTTCATCAGCCATGACATCCAAATGAGGCTCTATGCTATCTTCCTTTGCTGTTGCCTTTTCCTCATCTGATCCGAGCTGTTCAGCGTTATTAAAACTTTCCTTCTCAGCTAGAAGAGCACTAGCAGTTTTAGAAATAAAGGCCCAGTCCTTTACAATGTCATCCTCTGTGGTGAACTGGGAAGTCACTGTGAATCGAATGATGCGTTTTGTGTGGATTTCTGCAGGGATGAGGTACATGGTGCCGGAACGGGTCAGTCTCCTCAGCAGCTCCTGAGTCAAAATGTTTCCTGCCTGGAATAGTTCCAATTATCAGAAGTAGCAGAAGGGCTAAATCTTTTTTAATTGACTTTAAACTAGTTTCAGCCCTTTTCTTGTTAACCGATATATGTGAGATTGTGACATTTATTTTGTAAATCTCAGCAAAAATTAACATCGGATATGACTCTATACAAAGCATAAAACATAGCTTAAGATATATTTATGGTCAAAAGTTGTGTTGCCTACTTTCAGACAGAAAACCACCAGGCCAAGATGTGTCTCAGCAGGAACCTCAAAGTTTGGGTTGCTCCTTATTTTAGACTCCAAGAGCTTCGCCATCTTAATTCCCTAAAACAGAAAAAAAAAGATACTCTTAAAACTTTGTTAGGTTGCTACTTTAAAATATTTAATTTGATATAGAAATTGACAGTCGAAGAGGTAAATTCACTTGCATGTCTGATATGAGCTTGGAGCTTTTTCAGCCCGAAGGAACGCATGACGAACCAAAGCTTCAGAGATCGAAAACGTCGGCTGAGAGGAATTTGCCAGTGCTGGGCATCGGGGGATAAAGAGATGTTACTGGGTGAAGAAGTTTTTGAACTTTTGATTATGTAAATAAGCTTTTTTTTATTTTATTTTTTTTATTGAATGGATGATTCATGTACCATAAAGTCTGTGGCTGCCCGTGAGTTTTCATGTCTGAGGTAAACAGGATCAACACTGAAGGTCTGCTGGAGCTTATATTTATCCTTTACCCTAAAAATCAGTTATCTTTAATTAATCTTTATCAGAGAACCTTTATACAAACATTTAAATATTTTTTTAGAACGGATTTATGTTTTTTGATTCTGTGAGGTGAAATAATGCCATGACCCACCAGAAAGCTGTGCAGTCAAAATGAACCATCATCCACTTTGAGGGGTTAAAAACAAAAGACTGTGCAAACTCAATGCCGTTTAGAGACCAGCGTAATTCTGGACAAAAGTAGGCGGAGCCAGCATACGCAGCATCAACATGAAGCCAGAGTCCCTCTTCTTTACCTGTAATATGAAGGATTTTATTCCTGCTAGTGCACACAATTTACAAACAACATTTTGAGAAATTCTGTTTTATAAATAACTTATCTGGAGGAACAAATGTATAGAAGTAAAAGTTTGGAGACTTACAGATTGGTCCCAGTTCAGAGAGCTTGTCAAATGCACACACTCCTGTTGTTCCTAGAGTCGAACACAGCTGAACAGGAGAGAACCAAACCACAGCTGTCATGTGGTCGTTCAGTGCAAGGAATTTACCTCATTGGTACCATTACATTGCTGCTTTCTGAATCTCTTAAATCCTGGTTCTTTATCCTTATTTCTGTAAAACTATTTGTGTCTGTATGTCAGTTTTTTGTATAATAAACATTTCAGATCAAAATAAATAAGTAAAACTAATTATTCCTTGCTGATGATTTCTCCCTGGAAGGATTGTTGCTGCTTGTTCTCTTGCTTTAAAAGATTAGCCTTCCCAAATTCCTGACAAGAACTGTGAAAGCAAAACTTCTTGATTCACCTAAAAGACTTAACAGAAACTTAATGAATTATCAGTAAAATATAAACAATGTTCAGGTTTCATGGGTGTCCTCTTAACAGTGGTTAGGAAACTAAAAATAGGTTTATTCTACTTGCAGGATAGAAAAAAGACCACTTTTTAAAGTGCATATATATATATATATATATATATATATATATATATATATACAGAGATGTACTCAAGTAGATTTTTCTGATATTTTTACTTTACTTTACTACTTATTTTTATGGAGACTTTTTCCTTCTACTCCTTACATTTTTACACAAATATCTGTACTTTCTACTCCTTACATTTTAAAAATTGGCTCGTTACTTTAGTTTTGAATCATTTCAATGGAGTTACCGTTATTATTTTTCACGTCATCAATACCAAATTCAATTTAATTGGATGGGAATCTACGTTGCATTTGACGCACCACTACAAGATGAATCAACAGATTCGGCGGTATTCATTCGCGGCAAATCATTGCAGCTTGGTGGCGGTGGCGTTAGCATAGTAGCATGGACGACGAGATGATTGAAAATGAACACAACGGAGATCTAGTCCTATAGGCAGACATCCATTTAAAATGTAGGCAACGGCATGAAAAAAGTGGTTTCTACTTTTACTTTTATACTTTAAGTAAATTTACAAGCCTGTACTTTGTTACTTTTACTTGAGTAAAGAAGTTTAATCAGTACTTCCACTTTTACCAGAGTATTTTTTAACACAAGTATCTGTACTTTTACTCAAGTACGGAAAGTTAGTACTTTTGCCATCTCTGTATATATATATATATATATATATATATATATATATATATATATATATATATATATATATATATATATATATATATATATATATATATGTGTGTGTGTGTGTGTCTACTGGATTAATGTGAAGCCTCAATCAATGGACCCCATATTTGGTCTTGTAGATGTTTAACTTTAGAAGGCTCTCTAGTTTTTAATTATCTCATTTTCTATCAGAAAAGTAAACTTTTAAAGTGGAGCTTTTTAGATTTCCTGGCTGCTTTAACGCACTAACAGTCTGCAATATGTTGCTTTTCTCAAACAGATGTGGTTATATGTCATGTAACAATAAAATACATTGTGGCAATAATAAGTTTTTGTTATTTGCTGGTTGTTGGTTTCACATTTTAAAGCAATCACATAAATTTAATGTACAAAAATTCATATGAAGATCCTAAGAATATTAAAAAAATATTATTTATTTATATATATTTATTTTACTAAAAGCTAAATGGCTATAAAACTATAACTATAACCCTTGAATTGAATAACTTATGATAAGAATAGCTTAAGGCACACAATAAGTGCAAAAACATAATACATCATTGATTTTCCTCTACACAAAACATTTCAAACATGGCTACCATGAATGGAACAAGGCCCCTCCTCCGGTCCTCTTGAATGGCTTGCTTCAGAGTGTCTCCCCTCAGAGACAGCTTCTCATCAGCTGGAAGAAACCTAATCTTCACCAGAGCGATCAGACCTGCCTTCTCCACAGACGAATGGGCCTGTAAGAGCAAATCAAACCCTGGCTTGTCTCAATTGTTTGACGGGACAGTTTTTAATGGAGAGCCAGGGACACTGACCTGATCTGAAGCGTATGCCACCAGTGTGGAGTTGAGAACCGAGTCGTCCACTTCCTGGTCCAGCTCAGCCTTCAGCTGCAGTATTTTGTCTTTCCTGGCAGCCAGGAGAGCAACTAGAGTCCCCTCACTTACTGTGCTCTAAGTGTTGTTAGATTAAAGGGAAAGGTAATCAGCTTCAGGCTAAAGCAGAGGGTTAAAAACAGAAAATGGTGTTGCAAACCTGCAGCAGGCCTCCACCTCTGCTGTCAGGGTGATAATGAAGAAAAAACAAGGGAAGCCCCAGCGCTTTACACAACCAGTCCATCACATTCATTTCTAGCTCTGTGCAGGCTGGGCTGGAGGCCTGTGTTTCCAGAAAAAAACAGAAATGTGAGTTATAAAATTAACACTTTTAGTCTTCTACAGTGTTTTGCAGACTTACCCATGTGAATCCCACACAGTTGATGGCATCAGCCAACATGTCCCCTAACATGGAGGGCCACGAAGTCAGACTGGGGTAGTAGGCGTGCATATGAGGGCTTTGCCAATGAACCACCTGGATAAGAGCAGATGGAAATAGTCGAATGGCTGAACTTTATTAAATATACTTTTTTTTTGTTTGCAGATAGAATATAGGGGTGGGGTGGCAATATTTTACCCCAGGCATGATGACTTTTTCAATGTCATTGAAGATGCTCTCCCAGTCCTCCGGTTCAGTCGGCGCAGCTTCAGGAAGCAGCTCTCTCATGTAGCCTGGCTTCACATCAGGGATGACCCTCCTCTCCCTGATGGAGCTCAGGTACTTGGTGATATAGTCCACCAGCTCCTTACCTGCGCATTGAATAGATCATGGTCATATTGATGCCTATTTGTTTAAATCTGTTTGTTTTTTCATTTTGTGCAAAGTCTAGTTTAGTCAAGTCAAGCTGTCTCTAAAGAGTAAAAGAATCTGCAATTACCTCTGCGGTTGTATTCCTCAGCCTGCATGTTCGGAGAAGAGTCCCCCCTTTTAACAGAGCTACGATTGGGTGCAAGGATGTGTTGTGTATTCAGGATCAAGCATCACAAAACTATATAGACCTCGCTGTGAGGAACACGCCCTGAATTGGTGACGCAGCTTTACCATCAAACAAATGCTCTTCATGAGTGATTTCAGCCATCCTTTCATCTCACTTGCACCTAAGTGTGTACCTTTCTGTTGCTATGAGTTATGAAAATTTTGTTTGCATTTTCAAAGTGAAATCATATGCTAAGTTTTTATTGTAACAAATAAGTACGTCTGCTACAACATAAAGTTAAAATTAAGCTATGCATGATATAAAAAGCTAAAAGTGTTATTCTAACCACCAGCTTCTTTTGTTTTTACTTTTTATCGCCCCAAACACTTTTCAACAACAAAGGTAACAATCTTGAACACAAATCTACTTTTAAAATGATAATTTATTTTATTAAGAGGTAAAAAATAAAAAAATAAAAAAAATTATGAAACCACTATACCAAATTAATTTAGCTTTTTAAAGTGCATTCTTTGGAGAGGTGAGTAAGATCTCATCACAAATACCCATTTCTAGTCTTACTCTGTTATTTTGAATAAATGAAATAGAACCTACCTGACTGCAGGAAGTTGACAATTATCAAAAAAAGCACAAATTAAAACCAAACTTTCAGGTAAAAACACAGTCATTAATATTCATCAGTCTGGAAAAACAAACTTCTTTGGCTTTGAGACAACTGAAACACATTGAGCAACATTTTTCCAAGATGGAGAAATCCTAGACAAAGGGTAGACAGTCCTGCCCTCAAAGACTGAGGTCTTGCAGGTTTTAGAGGTTTCCCTCCTTGTTTAACCAACAGGACAGCAGCCCTTTAGAAGTGACTTTGGGCAGGCCTGTTCTAGACCCTCCTCAGGGGTCTCAAACCGGTTCCAGAAAGGGCCGTGTGGCAGCAGGTTTTCTTTCCAACCAAACAATAGCACACCAGACTCCATTCATGTCATTAAGTCATCATGTTCAGATTGGACTCACTTGATGAGATGAATGGAGTCTGGTGTGCTATTGTTTGGTTGGAAAGAAAACCTGGAGCTACACCTTTCTTGAGACCCCTCCAATTACTCATCCAGGAGGTTTCAAAAGACCCAGAACAAAATCTTAAGGTCAGAGTTCATGGTTCAACAAAGGAAAAACAGGATGAAAATGGCGTCATGAGAAAAATTTACAGTTGAAATCCACTCCAAATAAATAAATAAAACATCACCTATACTATATAGAACAATTTATTTAGCGAAAACATGGCTGTGGTGTGTAAGTTCGGAAGCTGAAGCAGAGGCATTTCTTGCAAGAAATAAGGTTCAAATTTATTTAACGCCCTCAGACGGAGAGCTCTGCATCCTCAGCATATACATTTATACCTTACAATTTCCCAACACACACATTCCCCCCAGGGTAACAAACCCTACCCCTAAATAAAAAACTTTCTCACTCTTGAACATTAAAGCAAAACGACTTGAGTTGATCAGGGTCATTCCCTGCTGGGTTAACATATCTTTCACCGGCCAGATGGATCTCCTCAAATCAACCGTCCTCCCCTTCATGCCATGAAGGAGGCTGTGTAACTCCTTCTTGTCTCTCATGACCTCCGTTTGGAGCCTGTGAGGCTAAGAACAGTCATACCTCAACATTTTTTTTTACTCCACAGCACGCAAAATGATCTGGGGCAGCTTTGGTGCTTCCCATCTGTAAATGGCTGGCTAACCAATTCATAACTGGACCGGTAATTCAAACTATGAATGGTTCAAAATACATGTTATATGCTGGCTTAGTGAAAGTATCGACTTGAATCCAACTGAGATCCTGTGGCATGAACTCAAATAAAGTATGTACCCTTGATAACCCTTCAACCCCAGGTTGAACTGAAACAATCCCCAAGGCTGCCGCTGGTGGTGGTGGATGGGGCGAGGGGGGTGTCCTCTTTACCCAAGGCCAGGTCAGGTTGCTTAGCACTCTATTACGGTAAGTACACTCTACTTGCACTCAATAATAGGGAAATATATGAGTTCTTCATTCAAACATAGTAGAAAGTGACATTCCAAAGGATGTTCGCTTTTATTATTAATGAATTTATACAAATTAGCTTTGGTAGTCCTAAATGACCCAAAACGGTAACTGTCAAATTTAATGCCAGAAGATGAGAAAATAACTCAGGATGTCTTTTTTTAAATCGAGTAACTAAAGAAGGTTTTAACCTAGTATCCACATAAAATTCATTTAAAAAATATTACTGTTTTTTGCTGGGAAGGAGTAGTTAATGTAAATGTTTCTAGGCTACTCTAATTTTGTTGCTAGTTTATTAATACGTTTTGGAGAAATATTAAGATTTGTAATTCTCTGGTTGTTTCCTATTTTCATTATCATACCTCAGAGTATTGGGGAAAGCCCTCACTGCACCACAGTGTGTATATAAAGTGTTGTGTAACATAGTTGTACTCATTGATTGAGACCTTTGTACAATGAGATGGATTTTTTTCTTTTGCAATCTCCCCTGTAATCAGTGACGTCAGCTAAAGTCCAAAAACCAGTAAAGCATCAGGAAAATCCTTCTAGGAAACTAATCTTTTTCGGGCTCATATGTTGAACAGAAACTCATGGCAGGTCTGAAATCAGATGCTTAAATAAGTTTTTCTTTAGTTACAGATTTTTTTTTCATACATGTTCTTCCTATAAATTTACTTTTTAGCTAACCTTTACAGGATTAACTTAGAATTATATGTGGAAATGCAAAAAAAAAAAAAAACGGTTTTATTGCTTTTGAGTGCTATGCTGAATATTATTACATACATACAAGTAAAGTCAGCAGAGACTATTTGATCTCAGCAACACAGCCTGAAAATTACAGAAAAGGAATGTAAGATCTACAAGAAAAATAGAGAAAAAAATTTTGCTTTATGGCACTAAATTTTTTGAAGACAAAAATGTATTGCTTTATATTGAATTATTTGTGACAATAAGTTCATCTGCTGTACTCAAAAATATCTAGTAAATAATTTCCTCCAAAGCTTAAATAAATGCATTATACATTCTTCAAAAAGCAGGTTTTTAAACTTCATTTCATTTACACTGCAGAAACAATCGAGAAATAAGTAAAATGTCTTAAGTGTAATTGCTTGTAATTTGAGCAAGTAAATAAGATTATTTGACAATGGAATTAGTATTTTTACTCTTAAAAAAAGATAATTAGATAATATTCACTTGAAATAAGACAATGCAATTGTTTTATCTTATTTTAAATGTAAATTGTCTTGTTATATTGGCAAAGTGCCTCACTTTGCTCCTCAATTCAAGAAAAATTTCACTTATCTTAAGAAGAAATTACGTATTTACATTTAAGTTTTTTGCAATGTAACTCCCAAAAATATGCCAAGCTGCAACAAACTCTGAGCCACAACAGAAGGATCATAATGGCTAATATTCATGTTTTCTCATCCTGCCTTAATGTTTTTTTTTTTCAGATTGTTGTTTGAGCAAGCTAGTATCTGTAAGCACTGACTAATGCACTAACCACACAACAGTGACATTATGCAAGAGATGAAAAATAAGTAAACACACAGAAGGAGGTACAAAGATGACCAGGCAAAAGTCATTACAGGTCATCACCATGACAAAAGCTGCAGTAACACCTGGACTGCTCACACACTGGGCCACTTTCAGGGCTTTGTGCTCGACATGTGATACCTCTGATATCACAATCTTCTAAGTACAATCAGGGACCTAATGCAATTTGAAGCAAACAATCCTTTGGACAAATAAAACATTTAAGAGGGACATCTGTATGAGCGATAGTCTTCATTCTTTATCACTGAAACTGCTGATCTGATAAACACAATTATTTTCAGAACTCTTATGTTAATACGTCACCTAACTGTATTTCAGCGTCTCAAGATTTAAATATAGATTTACCTTACAATTTTAATTTCTCCTCGCTTTTTTGGGTTAGAACCAATAAATATAAGTACCAGATATTTTCCTTCCAACATAGATCAATTGGAAAAGAAAAGCATATCCGCAAACATAAGGGAAACATAAATGGGAGGTTAAATGTTCATTTGACAGAAGATGAAGGAATTTTGATTCTGTCTTTGAAACCATTCAAAGAACTTCTCTGATTCTGAATCATCACAATGAAAGAGATTTTTTGGTTACATTGAAGTCATGACATGCTACCTTATGACATCCTACTCATAAATATTCAAACAGCTGTTATGGGAAGTCAAGCACACTGGGACTATTGTGTTTTTACCCTTTTGTACCCTCATGTCTGAGAGTCAGAGTCTGATGAAAGCAGGCTGGATTATAATTGTGCAATCTAGGATGGACTTCTGCTTGGCATCAAAGGCAAAGTGTTTTTATATTGGGCTTTTTGTTGCTTTATTCAAATAGGGGAATATAATCAATGCAACATCAGCCGTATAACAAATAAAATGTCCAGAAAAAGTAAAATCATAATAATGATAATAACTAACAAAGAGAACTAGTTTTAGTTTTTAGTGTCAGCCTTGGTGGTCATTGACCAAGAGTATAAAAAAGAACAAAATCTCTTTAAAAACAATCCTGTGGTATGTTTTTTCTCAAACTGTGATATAAGGTTTTTTTTTTTACTCCAACATGTGCTGGTCTTTAGTACTGTAGGTAATCTGCTTTGTTTGTTTTGAAGTTCATGCTACTTTGTACCATTAAGTTTATAGATTTGTGATATAAAAACTGTATTTTCTGATTAAACAAAGTCATAAAGTTCGTTTTTTTTTTTTTTTTAAGTATCAGCATTTGTTGAATAATGTAAATAAAGCTTTGGTTAAAACGGGCTCACCTGAATGAAACAGTAAAATTATCATTTGTAAGGTTATTAATAAATCAGCTGGGTTTGCCATACATATTACGCTTACTTTGTGCGCTAACACTAAGTGTTAGCGCACAAAGTTATTCTAATTTTATTCTTACTTTGCAAAGTTACATTTGCTGAGATAGAGCCATATGGTAACGAATTATATGTCCTCATTTACATTAACTTGACCAACTTTTTGTTGAAAGTGTAATTTTAGGAATAACGTTGTACTATTTGGTGAATAACATGATAATGATGTATTGCTACTCTTCCATATTTCTTTGTCTACTGCCCCCACCATGAATAACTGTACTAAAGAAGAAATGTGTTTTACAAAAAAATGCACCATATCAGATGGTATTATAACATCAGCTACTCATTACTTTAATCTGAGGACACCTCCAGCTTAGGTAGACATTGAACAGCAACCTGCACCAGATTTCCCCTTAAGCACCTTTTTATATTCTTTGGATATAAGGAAACTAAAAAAAACAAAAACAAAAAAAACATAAAGAATCTTTTCTTAAAAAATACAATTATAACTTGGTATTCAGCACATAAACACCGTCCAGAGATATCACAATTTACCCCTATATGATAGAATTTAAACAATCGCAGAGGATAACTACATTGATAGACTATGGACTTCTTCAAGCCAGAAGATCTGTTGCACTATGCTGGAGGAGCATGGAGAAAATGGGAGAAAAGAAGTTGCAAGTTCACTTAGACTGGAAAAACTGACATATATTGCAAAGGGCAAACAACAGGAGAGGAATCTATGTGAGCCATATATGAGGATTGTAGGGCCTGAAAGTGGAGCTTATTGATTTTTGAATGGATGTCTGGACTACAATTTTATTCATATATTTCCCCCTTTTTTTTCTTTTTTATGTCTCTGCCTTAATCTAAAGGGCTTTGTATATTTTTGGAACTAGACAAATGCTGGATTA